AGCCCTGACTGGTGCGTTGCTGTAACGTCACAGCCTAGAATGATTTCCCAATTCTCTAGCTCTCCTCACATGAGTTCTCTTCCTTTTTCACCTCCTACACTTGCTCCTTTCAAAAAAGTTTTAACTTCTTTTTTTCAAAGGAATTCTGGATTTCTAGGGACAGTTTGAGTGCGTGGGCATGTTGTCTCAAGGATATTTGTCTGCTGTCATCCTTGTGCCAACAGCTGCCTCCCTCTGCTGTCCCAGTCCCAGCATCTGGCCACTTCCTCTCTTCCTCTCCCTCTCAGGCCCCCTCTCAGAGTCTGCCTGGTCTCCTTCACAATAATACAGGATGATACCACCCACATCCTGGCTCCTTTGAAAATCTGACTTACTCTCAGACTTTGTTTCCGTTGTGGGACACTGACTATGAGGTGCCCCCTGAGAACCAGCTTCAGGCCATTTCCCATTGCCTGGATTGGTGCTAGTTAGGAGCAAATCCAGGAAATGAGTCCTTGAGTTTATTGAGGGGGATAAACTGCAGCCCCACTCTCTGTGATATTCTTATCTGTCCAGGGGCAAGAACTATGTGGGGAATAAGGAGCTGCTAGGGAGATAGAAGTCAGATATTATATGCAAAGAAGTGATCGAGGTGAATAACTGCATCGAGTTGGGGAAATTTAAGTGGAAGGATTTGACTGTCCTTGAATAGTCTACAGGTCAACTTCTCTTTTGGTAACAGTTTACAACTCAGTGTCTAGCCTAGCGTTCCTCAGCCTCAGCACTACTGACATATTGCACAGGATAATCCTTTGTTGTGGGGGTTGTCCTGTGAAGACAGGATGTTTAGCAGCACCCCTGGTCTCCATCTACTACATGCAGTAGCACTGCCCACGCTCCAGTCATGACAATCAAAAATATCTCCAGATATTGCCAAATTACCTTTCTTGAGAGCCAGCTTCTTCTTTATTCTTTCTATCTGTCCTTGACCAACCTCAGGGGTTCTGGTGGGGCTACAGCACCTCCTAGTGGTCAGCAAGGCACAGATCTCATACCTCAGCCCACTGGGCCAATCTTCAGCCCATAATAAACCCAAGTCAGCAAGGACCTGGGTAAGGCCAGGGAACCAGGACTGCCACAGATCTCTCTCTCTCTCTCTCTCTCTCTCTCTCTCTCTCTCTCTCTTACACACACACACACACACACACTGTTTGGAAACACTAGCTGTCAATTCCTTGTGAAACACCTTAAAAAATTGCCACCACCGCCCAGTCCCCACCATGGTTAAATTTTTTTTTGAGTGAACATAAAGCAAGCACTAGAGATACAGCAGTGAACACCTCAGAAACCACTACCATCCTTGCTGGAACGTCTAGCATGCTTGATTTGTTGGTGGTCATTGAATGCTGGAACGTCTAGCATGCTTGATTTCTTAGTGCAAAGCATGTGTAAGACAATATGCTCACTCTCATGATGCTTATATTCTGATAAAAACTCAGAGATTCCCCTAGACTAGAAATATAAAATAGGTGACATATGGAGGTTAGGAGTATAATCAGTATTAACACAGTTAAATACTGTCCTTTGCATGGAATCTCATTTCCTCATCAATAAAACAATGGGCTGACACACATAATTTCCCAGTCTCTGTCCAGTTTTAAAATTGTATGACCCTAACTGGAGATATCCCTAGATGTTCCCTGGGCTAGAAAACTGGGCATCCAGTGTCCCAAGTACCTACCTCATTGTACTACATAGTTTATATGTGAAGCTTTTCAAAGGAAGGGAGAGAGGGGAGGTAGAGCGAGGGAGAGAGGGGGGAGGGAGGGAGGAAGGAAGAAAATAGTAAAAAACATGGATAAGAGGCTACATATAATGCTAAGTCTGCCCATACGAAGACGTGACTATGCTTAATGAGTAGATTTCAGATGAATTATTTACTTCAGTGTTTTTTGCAAATGCTCTTGAAAAATCAGGTGCACATCATCCAACAAGATGCAGATGAAACCCCTGTAAAGAAACATGTGCCACATGGCATAGGGTTAGTTGTGCTGGTTGTCTTATATTTTCAACAGAACTTTTTTGTTGCTTATTAAGAACTGTCCAAAGGATAGGATGAAATAAAGAAATGAATTCTCTGCCACTTTTTTGCAGGGGAAGCCTCCACAGAAGGAACGAAGGGCTGTCGATGGGTGCTTGGGAAATGCCAGGGTTTGATCACAGCACAAAAGTAAAAGAGGGACGAAATATGCAATAAATTTAGCATGAGGATAACTTCATCCACAAAGAGGTGGGGAGTCCTATGACCTGTGGGGATGAGGCTCAAGAAGAACTGGAACAAAGGGGGAGTGGGCTGGATGATAGCAGGATGCATATTTTGGACATTGATCATATTTGGGGTTGTCCCGTATTTAAAACCCTGCTTATATTTGAGCAATTCCCTACAGTTTGGGTATTCATGAGAAACGGTGTGTGTGTGTGTGTGTGTGTGTGTGTGTGTGTGTGTGTGTGCTGGGATGTTTAAAAGTTGAATCTTCTTTCCATTCTAGAAGTAAGACCTCCATCATTGCCTCTGCTTTTGGTGACTTTAACAAGGACAGAGCTTTCTCCATCACCAGTCCCTGAGAACTCAGCGGGAAGACCAGGCTGTGTGGTCTGGGATAAGGGGAGGGAAGGAAAATCTCTTGTGTCTAATTCTGTCAAATTTAGTTACCTGGACACAGAGTTCCATGAAGGTTAAAGTTACATCTGACTCAGTCTCACTCTTCACTGGTGCTCAGAACTGGTTTCTAGGGCCTGCTAGGGGACAAGGGCATGACTCCCCTTCCATTCTGCCCAACTGGCTCTTAGTTACTGGTAGCTCTGACCTTGAAAAAGTCCCTTTTCTTTCTGATAAAAAACAAAGTCAACATACGCATTGGCCCTTTTTTAAAAATATATATTTTATTGAATTTTTTTAGAGAGGAGGGGAAAGGGATAGAGAGATGGAAACATCAATGAGAAACATCATTGATCAGCTGCCTCCTGCACACCCCTCTTAGGGGATCGAGCCTGTAACTCAGGCATGTGCCCTGACTGAGAATCAAACCAGTGACCTCTTGGTTCCTGGCTCAATGCTCTGCCACTGACCTGCACCAGCTGGGCACACATTGACTCTTGAGGTCATATGCCTGCAGGGGGACAAATGACCATCAGTTTTCCAAATGAAAATTCAGATCAAAACCAGATGGGACAGCCCGCTCCTACAGGTCATTCATCTTCATAAATCATCAGTTCATGCTATTGGCCTGTTTAGCTATTGAAATTTTATTTAGCCACTCAAAATATTTATGCTTACTATTTCTATTATTATATGGATTATAAATATTTCATCTTCAAGTCATTTGAAAGTAATATGAGTAACAATTAACAATAATTAAATGCAATACTGTGGTGTGTGGGCATTATTTATTAACTTTCAAATGTGATTGTGTGTCACCTTATCATTATTATTTGGAAGAAGCTGCAGATGTTTTGTGGAGTGAGGGAGGTCCAGGCGGACCCTGAATTCTCAATCTTTAAGTTAAAGTTAGTCACATAGAATATTCAATATTGACTTTAAAAGTGTGAAGTGTGTTTTCCTGCAGTTTCTAAAGTTTATAATTTTTAACAGATGTTGAAACTTGTTCGTAATACAGAAAATTAAATAATTTCTATCTAAGTGTAGGCAAATGAGTTGGTTGTCTTTAGCAGATTCCTGTGTTCCATTCTAAGACAAATTAGAAGCCCTGACTGGTTTGGCTCAGTGGATAGAGTGTCAGCCTTCGGACTGAAGGGCCCTAGGTTTGATTCCAGTCAAGGGCATGTACCTTGGTTGCAGGCACATCCCCAATAGGGGGTGTGTAGGAGGCAGCTGATCCATGTTTCTCTCTCATTGATGTTTCACTCTCTATCCCTCTCCCTTTTTTTTTTAAAGAAAATCAATAAAACATATATTTTAAGATGAATTACAAAACTAACTTTCAAAAAAGGACTAATCATTTTTCTGTTAAACTACTTGAGCTAGACTTTCACTTTCGGGCAGTTGCGTAGAATAGATAGATATTCTGAAACTTCCTTCTTCTACATACAGCGAGAGTTGACATAAAATATAATTTTGTGGACTGCCAAGATATTTAAGAAATAAGGAAAATTCCAAAAGTTAAAAACAAAACAAAACAAAAAAAAACACCAGGAGCCTTGAGAGGAAAAAAAATGAGAAGCTCCTCTCAGATCTGGGATGTGGATGTCTGTCTTTTCTATCTCTAGGTATTGGGGTATCAAGTGTTCTTGAGTCTGGATAATTCTAGCTGCCATGGGTCATTGGATTGGAGATAGAGTCCAGAAGGAAATCTGCTGATGGTATTTTGATAGAACCATTTCATCAGACCCAGAAGAGCTTCCTGTCATTTCCTGCTCCAGAACTCAGAAGACCACCCAGCAGAGGGACAAGAATAAAACTCTTCCTATACACTGGAGTGAGGGTCTTGGGGCTCTGGGGCTCCCTTGGCCTAGTAAATAGATATCCCTAAGTTATTGTGATCTCTGCAAGATCCCAACCAACCTCTGGCCTCTCAGTGCCTGAGTCCAGGAGCTCCCATCCCACCAGGCTGGACTGAGCTGAGTGGAGGCAGACAACATTTAGGTATAATTTTATGCATTGGTATGAACAGAATGCTGGGCCCCAACCCCAGTCCCAGCCTTCTTGTTGTCTCAGGAATGTACTCCACCTGCATCTGCCTGTGGGCTTCACTGACCCCACCTCAAACCCCTCTTCCTTCTAACCCCTTGTAGGCTCCCAAGCAACTAGTCTGGAGGTGCAGGCTGGGGCAGAAACACCTGCAGATCAACACAGAGCAGAACACTCTGTATTTAACCCCTCACATTCCAGCACTGACTCACAGCCTCTGCCCACCCCAAACAAAACCAGACTTGCCCTTCACCCTCTCCCTTCCAGGGAGTTTCCTCAACCTTCCCTCAGAGCTCCCTGCATCTCAGCAGAGTCATAGCTCCTCCTTGTGGCCAAAGAGAAGCCCTGTGCCAATACTCAATTCTCCCACAGAGACAGTAATGCAGTACAGGTCTGAGAGAAGGACATGCAGTCAGAGGGCTGTAATTAGGCCCCAGCCCGCCCATCTCACAGGGAAATCATATTCCCCAGAGCATTTGCTTCCCATGTTTGGGGTGAGACAGCAGCAAGCTGATCCAGCTCATACCTGTGACCAATCTTTCTTTGTGGCTGCTCAGCTCTGCAGATGACTACTGGCACCAGGGATTACAGATGTGAGAGGGCCATGGGGAGAGGTGGCCAACTAAGGGTGAGTGAGTGAAAAAAATGTTATTTTATAGTTTGAGATATCCATTCCACAGGGACTATCTCCTTGCAAAGTATCACTGACATTAATTAAATAATAAATAATGGCTCTTAAAAACCCTGTAGCTAATCTACATACAGTTCCATGCTTAGAAGGACCCCACCCTTGCTTCAATGCCCTGCCCTCATTATCTTCAAAGTATTACTATTTGGACCACAGACTCTGCCAGTTGTGTAGCAGGTCTCAAGTACATGAATTTTAGTTTCAAATCCGTGGTCACCTCCCAGGGTGCTGATTTCCCTTTAGCACAACCACATCCAGGCCTAGGAGAAGAGGACACAGAGTTTAAAATCAGAACTGGAGGAGGAGCCTGATGTTGGAAGCACAGCAACAAGCCTTGAATTGGGGCCTGGCCTGCCCAAAAATGGGCTCCATGTTCATCCCCAGAAATTCTCTGGTCCTGGACACAGAAGGATACACAGCACAGAATATTGTCGCCCACACAAGCCCAGAACACAAAGGGGGATTTTCCAGCTCAAGGTTCCTGTTTTGTGGGTTAGACACTGAGGTCAAGGTGAAGGGAACCCTCTTCCCAATGTAAAATGATCTCTCCATGAAGTCACTTTCCCATGGACCTCAGCACCAGCTCACAATGTGTGACCATGACCCAGGCTACCTGTGTATCTAATGGGAACTCAAAAGCATTTCCTTAGATATGATGACTTTTTGTCAAAATATCATTACAAAGTAATTGGAATGATGGGTGCATGAGACAAGAAATGAGTGAAAATCAGTAATTACATTTTATAAAAATAGCTGTACCAGCTGGAAAGACCTTTTGAGTGTCATTCTATCAAACCATCTAGCCCCAGGTAGAATTGTCGCTGACGTGGATCTGGTGTCTTTGTCCATAATGCTCTCCAGGAGTACCTCATGCTCTTAAGTACTTAGCTATGCACTAATGAGGGTTTGTTTTAATAGGTAGAGATGATAAATGTATATTAAAAAGATGCCTAAGCAAAATGAATCTTTACAGATAGAAATCATGTCATTGATTGTCAGTGATGGATTGAGGCATTGTAAAGGGGCATGAGAGAACCCTCTAGGTGATGAAAATGTTCTCTAGCTTTATGAGGAAGTGCTAAAAGCATTTATATCTATAGTAGAGGCCTGGCACATGAAATTTGTGCAAGAGTAGGCCTCCTTCCCCTGGCTGCTGGCACTGGCTTCCTTCCGGCACCTGGGATCTGGGCTTCCCTCACAGCCCTGGCTTCCTCTTGAAGGATGCCTGGTCTAATTAGCATATTGTCCTTATATTATTATAGATATGTGGTGTCCCCCAAAATGTATACACACTTTAACAGCTGATAGCCCAATTCATGTTTCTTTCTTTCAGATTTAACCCAATAAAATTAATAATTATTCAAAGTGATGTGTACATTTTTAGGACACCCTGTATATTACTCAAAAGTCATTGCTCTCTTCACTTAAAGTCTGTAATATTTACTGTATATATTCACATCAGTAATAGTTATTTAAGTGCCTAAGGACAGATGTATGTTACATGCTCTAGTGAATGTCATCTAATGGATCATCGGGCATAAATATTTCCATATTGTGACTTCTAAAATCCTGAACTATAGGGTTTCTGGACAAAGTGTGTCTGTATCTACTTTGCACATAAGATATGGTAGGAAAAACTGTCAGAGATTAAAGAAGGACTCAGGATCCAGATTCCAATTATGTCCTATTTTAACCTTAGTGTGTCTTTATACAACCCTGGGCGATGGTCTGATGGTTAATTTAATGTGTCAGTGGGACTGGACCATGAGGTGCACAGATATTTGGTCAAACATTGTTCTGTGTGTTTCTGTGAGGGTGTTTTTGGATGAGATTCACATTTAAATCACTAGACTTTACAACTTAGACCTTAAAACTCTCAAAAGCAAAGAACCCAAACATTTTTATTTTCTGTTTTATGTGATACAATTCCTTGTACAACATATAGGAGCAGAAATTATAGAACTAAAAGAACAAAGGAAAGAGTAACAGTTATTCTTCATCCTTCCCATTGTGGCCACTGTGTCCCATGAAGGAAGACTGTTCTCATGGCAAATATCTCATTCCCTTTCTGCTGCAGCTGGGAAAACACATCTGGAAAGCTTTCTGCTCACACAGCCCCCATGAAAGATGTCAAACAGCCTTGGTGGGGTGGGGGTGTGGCTACAGTGTAGAAAATAGTGCCTTTCTTTGTTGTGACAATGAAGGGTCAATGGATATGTGTTGCCTTGAAGTCAAATGTTCCTGAAGCTGTCAGGGGAGAGGTTACCACAAGCACAGATGATGTGAGACCTTCCCAGGCCTATAATCTGGACCTGGAAAAGGGAAGCCAGATGTGGGACAGTGCCGGGGGCTGGGGGACAACCACGGGAGTTGAGGAACAGACTTGAGTTTGATTTCTATCTCTGCCGGTTATGAAATATGAGACCTGGGAATGTCTCATATTCTCTACCATCAGATAGAGAAACAAGCAAAGAAGTACTTCTGTGGCATGATTTCTGTGAGCATAAATACACATCACATCTGTAAGCAGCAGCAGGATGTTTGGGAGAGGCATTCTGCTCTGCTCAGGCCTGTGCCTGTGTGACTGGCAGCTGCCACCCTCGCAGTCACTTCCTGAGCTGGGGAGGAACCTTTTTGTACAGCAGGCTGCCTAGCATGCAGGGCTGTGTCTTCGCTGCTGGCGCAGAGATACAGGGCCGAGTCCGAGAGTTCCAGGGAGCTCATGGTCAGCTCAGAGCGATAGTCACTGAAATGTTGCACTGAGAATCGGTCAGGGATGTTTCCTTTTGTACTTTGCTTCCCGTTGTAATACTCAATGAGGAACTGGGGGCCCTGGTCCTGGGCTTGTTGGTACCAGTACACGGAGCGGTGCCCAGAGATATAGGAACAACTCAGTGTCACTTGCTGTTTTCTTGCTTTGACCAGGTGTTTGGGGGACTGAGTGACTCCCGAATCCACTGGGCCTGTTAGAAAGGAGACAGAGGGAGCTCAGGGAAGGGCACAAGGAAGTATCCTGCTACCGCCACCACCAGTAGGCTTGTATTTCAGGGATGGCAAACCCATATCAGAGGCTCACACACTGTGCCCAGAGCTCACCTGCTCCCAGGAGACAAAGGGCCACACAGCAGAAAAGTCTAGAGACCATGGCAGCATCCCAAGACATCACCTAGCTCAGGGAGGAGCTCCTGGGGTGAGCAGTCTAAAGTTCCCTACCTCTCAGTCCCTGATAGGAGCATTTGCCTATGACATCACTGCTCTGATGTCTTCCCTGCTCTGTGTGACTCTCCATGTGGGCCACCTCTTTGCCCTCTGTACCCTTGGTCCCAGGGTCAGCTACTCTATTCACCATTCCCTGGTCTGCACAGGCCCTCTGCAAAGGGTGGCTGCAGGTAGAGCAGTGCTGTGCCCACATGCCTACAACTTACCTT